CCCTCCCTCCCTCCCCTCCCTCCCACCTAGACACGGTTCCTTGTGACGCACGGCATAGGGTTCCTGCCGCAGTGTGACCAGATCATAGTCATGGATGGTGGGAGGATCACTGAGGCCGGGGCCTACTCCGAGCTCATCGACGCCGACGGAGACTTTGCAGAGTTCATCAGGACCTTCTCTGCCACGGAGGAGAACGAGGAGGGAGACCCCTGTAAGATTGTATTGTAATTAGGAATAATGTGCCTCGAATAAGGAAAGACTAGATTTGATGTAAATATAATCATACATTATACTTATAAATACCCTCACTCTTCTAAAATACCTGCCTCAACTACACAGCTGTGTATCCGTTATATTACTGAACCTTATAATTATGCACACACACACACACACCCCAGTGTTCAGTGAGTACACGGAGTATGAAGACGAGATGGTGGGGGAGCCAGTTCCTGATGACTCCTCCACTCTGGTCCACCACGGACTCTACGATGACGATGAGACCAGGGCTCGCAGGCTGGCCTGGAGGAAACACGTGAGTAGTACTACTGTTCAATTGGCTATCAATCCACCTGTAGACTTGGTATATACAGGCATAGCTCAAGGAGCAGTATGAACAAAGCAGGACACATTGTTACACATTAGTGTGTATATAGTTCTACGTAGCTTGCTAGAACCACCTTTCTTAAACCACCTTTCTGTCAGTATATACACATAAGGGCTATAAACTCAATAGGGCCCAGTGCAAGAATCAAATCAGACCTTTAGAAATATGTACTGGCAACATAATTATTATGCCTCAATAAGATTTAAAGTGGTTTTGACAAGGCCCAATATATGGGATCTGCCTTTGTTGTTTATTACCAGCACTCCAAGTCCCGGGAGGCTTCATTCTCAAAGCCGGAGCTGAAGCGAGGGACGTCTAGGACTGACCTCATTCGCCAGCTCTCCAAGCAGAAGTCTCTTCTGGAGCAGCAGGCGGCAGCAGAGGAGAAGGAGGCAGAGAAGAAGAACGTTCTCATCACAGAGGAGAGAGCCGAAACTGGATCGGTGAGTGTGACCTCGGTAGTAGTGTGGCCTACTCTGCACTCTCCAGCTGTAGTGAAGGTGTTTTAGATGGTTTGTTGCCCACTCCTTTCTCCTAAATTCATGCGAAAAGTACGACAAATTGAGGCCCCATTGCTTTGTCTGTCTCTGCTCCAATGTTCTTGCTAAAAGTCTCACAGCTTAGCAAAGTGTACAATGCTGTGTGTTTGATATTTGGATGTGTATTGTTGACCTGCAGGTGAAGCTGTCAGTAGTCATAGCCTACATGAAGGCGTGTACATTCTCCGTGACAGGTCTGGTCACTCTGTTCTATGTCCTCACCAACGGGTCGTCGGTCGGCTCCAACTTCTGGCTGGCCCACTGGAGTAACCAGGAGAGTTCAGCCGGATCTTCTTCCACTGACATGTATGTCACACAGTGTACTATTATTATTCAGAATAAGTCACACTACTACCGAGGTCAAAATAACTGTTTTATCCTTTCTACTCAAGAACCATTATTTTGGGGGGCTCGAATTATTCCTAAAGGGCTAAGACCTTTTTTCTTGGGGCCGGGATTCTCCTTAATATACTTTAGCAATCTTGGGGCTGGGAATGCTATTTAAAACCTCTGGCTATCTTGGGGGCTGATTTCAAAGTTATCTTTTAGTTAAGACTAATAATGTCATGGCTGAATATGCTTCACGGAATATCCTTAGCTGTTCATAATGCCGATAGTTACTGGTATCTTTAGGAGATAAGATCTAACACTTACCAACGTGTTTCTTTCCCCTTGTGTGAATTCATGCACTGCCACAGAGGGATGTTCCTGGGTATATATGCAGGACTGGGATTCTCTCAGGCTCTGTTTGTCCTCTTTGCCGCCTTTGCCCTGGCAATGGGTGGGATACTTGCCTCGAAGAAGCTCCACAACTCCATGCTCGACAGCATCATGCGCTCTCCGATGTCGTTCTTTGACACCACCCCCCTCGGGCGGATACTCAACCGGTTCTCAAAGGACGTGTACACCATTGACGAGACAATCCCTCGGTCACTGCGAGGGTTCATCATGACTGTGTTCACTGTTGTGTCAACCATCATTGTCATTCTCATCGCAACTCCCATCTTTGCAGTGGTCATCATCCCCCTTGGCTTCCTCTATGCCTTCATACAGGTATGCTGCTTCCTCTAGTGAAAGATTTTGCGATTTTAACATTTTGCAGATTTCTATTGTTTCCCGGCCACAACATTTCACTGTTGGTCGTAAATTTGCAGTTTTCCCCTCAAAATTTTTTTGGGTTTCTACTTTAAGCTGGTAGCGATGAGTTTTATCATTGTAGCAATCAGTTGCTCCATCTCTGTGACATAGCCTCTGTTCTTGATCGGGGCCGTGTCTTCCTGCTTATGTTTTGAAGTTCTCTTCTTACATGAGAATGTACTTACATATGTGTGATAATTTATTAGCCATAATATGTACGTACGTGTATCTCTCTCCTGTGCAGAGGTTCTACGTGGCCACATCTCGTCAGCTGAAGCGAGTCGAGTCCATCACTCGCTCTCCCATCTACACACATTTCCAGGAGTCCATCACCGGGGCCTCTAGTATCAGAGCCTACGGTCAGCAGGTCCGCTTCATCGAGGAGAGCGAGAGGAGAGTGGACAACAATCAGATCGCCTACTACCCCTCCATCTGTGCCAACAGGTACATACATACATAGAGTGAATGGGTACAACTTCCTCCTAGGCTATTTTAGTTGGTCTTAATCTTCACCACCTACCTGTGTGTGTGTGTGTGTGTGTGCAGGTGGCTGGCCATTCGTCTGGAGTTCATCGGGAACCTGATTATCCTGTTTGCGGCCCTGTTTGCCGTGATTCAGAGCATCTACGGCGAGAGTTTGCACCTGCCCATCAGTGCAGGGTTGGTGGGACTCTCCATCAGCTACGCTCTCCAGGTGACCCAGTCACTCAACATGATGGTCAGAATGACTAGCGAGCTGGAGACCAACATCGTAGCCGTGGAGAGGACCAAGGAGTATGCAGACACTGAGAATGAGGTATTACTATACACTATACTAAAGTGGGACATAACTGATGTCTATTTTTCCAACATGAAAAGTAGGCCTCAAAACAAAAAACGATATCACTATTGCATCACTGTTTTTACTAGGAAATATGGCTAGTGGTAAGATTACTATTATGGGAATGGAACTGATGGCAAAACCGGACAGCTCTCACAATGCTTTAGGTCAATAAGTGGGGATGGTGCTATATAGCTTCTGTGCAGCATCTCACAAATACAGCAATGCTGGTATGTAACTAACTTTGAGTTCATAGTACATAATTTACTAATATCCAGGCCCCTGCCATTGTCCCTGATAATCGTCCCCCAGACGGCTGGCCGACTCACGGCCACGTCAAGTTTGACCGCTACTCCACCCGCTACAGAGAAGGTCTGGATCTTGTCATCAGAGATATACAGGCCGAGGTGCCTGGAGGAACTAAGGTATGCCGCTCTTGTTAAATTATAATGCTGCAAGACCTTTGTCATCCCACTAAGTACGGTAGTACTACCGTACTTAGTGATAATATGGAGCCTGAACACTCTAGTTGGGAAGATAATTATAAACTATGTTGTCATAGGTTTTGGTTCGTCTAAAAACCATCTTCAGGGTAACGGCAAAAACAAAGCATGGCATTACGTTTTGGGGATTATACCTAAGCTTAATTCAGCCTTTGAACAACATTATTCGACTCTGTTGTCACCAGGTTGGTATAGTGGGGAGGACTGGTGCTGGCAAATCTTCTCTCACTCTGGCCCTGTTCCGTATCATCGAGCCAGCCTCTGGCTCCATTGTTATTGACCACTGCAATGTGGCGGCTCTGGGACTCCAAGACCTACGCTCCAGGATCACCATCATTCCCCAGGTCCCTACCGTTATAATGAAAAACACTGAAGTACAAACCCACTCCAGCCAATAATATGCACTACTACGGATGAGCAAAATTTGCCACGCTCAGTGCTTGCTGGTGGTGTCTACCATTATAAAAAGCACTGAAGTGCAAACCCTCCGTGAAATGCTAGTGCTCTAGCTAATATGCACTACGGATGAGCAAAAGTTGCTTTATTAGAGAGAGGTGTTCACATTTCAGGGATTTCATTAGAGAGGGGTTCCCCTATACATCCCAACTCTTCTCTATACTTGTTCTCTTGCATGTCTTCACCCTTATATTAACATAGGATCCAGTGCTGTTTTCCGGGACTCTGAGAGTGAATCTGGATCCGTTTGAGAGCTACAGCGACCAGGACGTGTGGGCGGCTCTGGAGAGCTCTCACCTCAAGGCCTTTGTCTCCTCTCTCCCTGAGAAGCTCCTCTACCCCATCGCAGAGGGAGGGGAAAACCTCAGGTTGGTAGCTATTATTATGGCAATTACATTTGACACTTAAACTCCACGGAAAATAGCACACTTGTGCCAGTATAAGTAACACACATAACAGTCTATCGCATCTTGTGTGTAGTGTTGGACAGCGTCAGTTGGTGTGTCTGGCGAGAGCTCTGCTGCGGAAGACCAAGGTCCTGGTGCTGGACGAGGCCACGGCGGCCGTGGACCTGGAGACCGACGACCTCATTCAGAAGACCATCCGCTCAGAGTTTGCCGACTGCACCATCCTCACCATCGCCCACCGCCTCAACACCATCATGGACTACGACAGGTCTGTCCTGCTACCACGATACCTCGCAATTGAATATGAATTGAGACTTACACACCTGCAAAATTTGAAAATTTGCACCACTGTTAGTTGTTGCAGTACCATGTCAAGGCAAGCATGGCAGGAGCTGGGCATAACATATTATCAGTTAATAAAATCTCTACAGTTGTATTCCTGATTATATACATTCAGGATCCTGGTGTTGGATGCTGGGCAGATGAAAGAGTTTGCAGCTCCCAATGAGCTCCTCAGCAACAAGAAGAGTAGTTTTTACTCCATGGCAAAAGATGCTGGCCTGGTGGCCTAGCTCAAACAACTACCTACTGGTCCTTCACCTACAGAAAAGTCCTCTAGTATTATTATAATTATACCATGCATACCGGTGCAAAGTAATAATGATTTTACCTGATGTAACATTATTATTCGCGTTTTTAACAAGTATCGCTGAGGTGTAGGAGTGGTTAAAAAAAGGGGAGCAAAATGCCGGACAGATCCCTAATACTGCCCGTGTTTGCTGTTACGCATGCGCATACTACCTGCAGACGGTGGGCGTAGCTCTCAATCGCTACTCTCCTTCAGTGAAGGTTATAAAGAAGAAGAAGAAGAAGCTCGGCTGAAGCGTTGAGAAAGATTCGTATGCATGAGAGGAAAATGAAGGCCTTTTACCTTCTCTTTTGTCTCTCTGTGACCGTCTGCGTTTGTGTCGCAGTTCCGATAACAACGTGCAGCTCTGCAAACCTCCGTAACAGGTGCTGTATATAGCTATGTGCACCGCTGCTGTACACTTTCCATGGTATATGTACACTTAGGAGGGAGACTTGCGAGGAAGCGGTCGCTAAGTTATCCCAAGATCAGGTGGCACTTGCATGCCAGGCCCTGCTGTCGCCCATTGTGATCGGCAACCTGGGCGCCACTCCGGAGATGGTGACCGAGTACTGCACGGATTCAAGGCATTGCTCCGCCATCCTTGTTCCGCTCTTCGATGAGATCGGAAGGCTTTGCGGAGGGGTAAAACTGTAACTATACTAAAAAGCCATGCCAGCCCACTAAATTCATTTCGCATGATAGTTAGCTATGTGAAACAGGCTACTGTGTGGGGAAGGACCACCAACATTGCTTCATAACTGTGGCTTATATTTTATTGCCTCATAACAGAATAATCTCAATCATGGTCACACACACACTCTCTCTGCAGCAATTTCCACAACTGGAGACAACAGTTCGTGACGAGTGCTATTTTTTCCAATCCACATATTGTGGTGATTATTTCATCTCAATGTTCGACAATACTACGCAGCCAACCTATGATGTATGTACAATTTTGACTGTGTTTTACATGCCGTTTTAAATGAGCTCTTTACAGAAATGCGTGGAAGATTATTACTCAGGAAAAGGGTGTACAGACAACTGCAAAACAGTAAGCATAATGTTGCCCCGCTATATTATACATAGTGTTGTTTTGGACAAACAAAACCAACAGATAACCAGTTATATTCAGGACAACAGAGGCTGCTGCTATACCGATTGGCAACTGTTCAATACTGCCATTGATCCAAGGTCAGTGTGAACTTGTTATTGATGTTCAGTCTCATATTCATTTTTCTTGCCTGTGGGATGTGCTGGTCATCTGTCTAATGAATAATCATACAATTTATATGATCTTTAGCTACGTATGTATGGTTCTCCCACAGTGCTAAATTAGTTGACAAGTGTGTATTTGAGGAATGTCAACTAACTATGGACGACATTTGCACTGAGCCCTAAAAGGTGTAGTACATAGGACAGATATGTAGTGCAGGTCATAGCTACAGTGTATTTTTCCTTTCTCCAGTGACTAACAAGCCAAAAAAACAGTGATAATATTTTGTTTTATAGTGGACAAAAAACCGTATACTTTGTTTAACATTCGCGGTTATGCGCATGCGCGCTGTCTTGATCGTGAGCTCAGAGTAATGCTGCTGACTGTAGCGTGTTGTAGGTTTGCGTCGTCCACCGCCTCCTCCACTGGTCCTCTGAGAGTGTGTGTGATCGGCAGTGGACCCGCCGGGTTCTACACTGCTCACCAACTGGTGAAGGTGTGTCAGCAGCTCAGCTTGTAGGCATAGCTATGTCTGTTAGCACAACCCTTTCTGTGTTCTGAACATGAATTGTGCTATAGAGAATCGATGATGTGCATGTCGACATCTTGGACAAATTTCCCGTCCCTTTTGGTCTGGTGCGGTTCGGAGTTGCTCCCGACCACCCCGAGATCAAGGTGTCTCTTCCTCTCCATATTCCCATACATTCACGTCCCGCACCACTTCCGTGTCTAGAATTGCATCAATCAGTTCACAGTGCTGGCAAGAAAAGAGCAGTGTCGGTTCATCGGTAACGTTGGCCTGGGACAGGATGTCGGTCTGGCTCAACTGAGGCCTCACTACCACGCAGTAGTCTTGGTTAGTATGCCCCTCAAGTAGAGTGTGACTCCTCTGATCTGGACACTAACGGGACACTCCTCTTATGTGGTCCCTTCCTAAGGCATATGGAGCTGAAGAAGACAAAGAATTGGGGATTCCTGGAGAGGTACGTTTAATGCATACTGCCTTTAACTAGATCCTTAACTTCAACTTTACAGGACACACCGGGTGTCTATTCTGCCCGTTCTTTTGTTGGATGGTACAATGGCCTACCAGAACATAGACAGGTGTCACAAAATGTTGCAGTACGTCTTAATTGTCTGTAATACGTGACAGTTGGATCCCGATTTGTCCGGGGAAGTGGGAGTGGTTATTGGTCACGGGAACGTGGCTCTGGATGTGGCTCGAATGTTGCTAACTCCAGTCAGCAGGCTCAAGGTCCCCATCCCTATCTCACCTCCCTTCTTGTCACTTTCTCTTCCTCTCTTTCACTCTCTCTCCTTCCCTCCCTCCCTCTCTTCTTCCTTCACTACTGTCCTCCCTCCTTCCCTCCCTCCCTCCCTCCCTCCTCCCTCACTCACTCACCCCTTCCTCTCCTCGTTCCTTCCCTCCTATCCTCATCAATACAGACTACTGACATGTGTACCCATGCTATTGAGGCGCTAGCTCGCAGTAGAGTGAAGCAGGTACGTCTGGTTGGCCGCAGGGGTCCTCTGCAGGTGGCCTTCACCATCAAAGAACTGAGAGAAATGACCAAACTCCCCCACTGCTCCACTCTCATCGATCCCTCCTACTTCCATTCCATCAAATCCCTTTTATCAGGTATTCTGACAAGGGTTTGCTACAGTATAGATTGAGGGTTAGCTCCCTAATACCATCAGCCAACAAGTAAATTGTATACTGTAGCTATAGAGCTTGGTAATCCGGATATGCGCACACTAAGGCTGGGTTCATCATATGTCACATAGGCCCTTCGTGCTGTGCCATTTCGTGGTTGCGTCGCGAAGATAGATATACAGTCTATCCTCGCGACACGGCAATGCAGCCGGGCATGACGGTATATACATGGTCCATCCGTATTGCTAATGATATGCAGACTCTAATGATAAACTCTGCATCTAACTTGTTTATATATGGAGTCCAATAGAGAGTCTTTGTCTTACACTGCAGAGCTGCCTAGACCACGGCGAAGGATAACAGAGCTCATGTTGAGTGTGGCTGAAAACAGGTATAGCTATATTGTAGTGAGTCCTACACTTAACCAACCACTGCTGACAACGAGATATGATTACAGGGGCGACAAACGGCCAGCTGGAGGTAAGGAGTGGGGTCTGTCGTTCTTACGAAGTCCGGTGGAGATAGTGTCATCCCCTACCACTGGAAGACTGGACTCACTCAGACTGGAGATCAACAAACTACAGGTCTGTGGATCATCTCATACTATCAGGGGTTAACTAATGCACATTTATGGGGGGGTGGCACTAGCTCTAGTCTTGATCGAATCTCGTTCTCCTTGGAGTTGCCATGAACCGGAGTTTAAAAAGGCTTTGCTCCCGCTTTTTCATATTTTGCACCCCCCTGGAATTATGATGAATTTTGGCATGGCATAATGCTGGGAGAATGCGGGCATGAAATTAAGCATCAGATTCTTATTCTTCAGGGGACTTGGGATTCAGCAAAAGTGGTGCCAACTGGAGAATTTGAGGACATGGAATGTGATCTAGTAAGACCCTTTCATTTCCTTGTGCTAACCTGAAACACAGGGTTACCACTACTTGTTGTCAGGCGATACGCAGCATTGGGTACAAGACTGTGAGAGTTGGCAGAGACGTTCCTTGTGATCCAGTGACTGGCATCGTCCCAAACGTAGCCGGCAGAGTTTTAGACAGTGAGTGTGATTTTATTCTTCCTTTTCCCTGTGCTGGAGCTCATGTGGGGGGAGGTATATAGTGCATCATGTGGGCCACGAAATGTATCGGTGTGTCTTTAAAGTGGCATTGTTTTCTTAACAAACGTGGGGGTCAGATAAACAGTTGGGTTTCAATAAGCAAGATATGCTCTTAGTGTTAGTGCTGCGTGATACGTGACATGTCCGTATTTTTTAATGACAGGAAACAAGAGCTATATCAGAGGTAGGTCTGTTGATAGATTCTCCTGGATGAGTACTGAACCAGAGGGTAGGTTTGTACTGCAGTGGATGGGTCAAGACAGGACCAGTCGGCGTCATTCTCACAACCATGAACAAGGCCTACGAAACAGCAGAAGTCATTCAGGAAGACTTCAGAAGTGGTAAGATATCCTCCCATGAATCAGTTCAGCACACTTGTTTGGCAAGTGACAGCTGCCAATTGCTTTGCACTTGGATTGACTAACAACTAAAGATACGCTTTTCTGCCTGGAAAGCAGTTGAGATGTATGGATGATCAATCATCCTGCCTGAACTAATTAGAGACACAACTTGATTGTATAGACGTGGGTCTGGGTCTGAGAACTTTTGTGCCTTGATAAATTGATCTGTTAGCCAGATTTCTCCGGATTATTCCATGAGCCAGATCTATTCCGTGCAGGAACACTTCCAGAACCTGAAAGAGGCGATATTTTGGAGAAGTTAAACAACGAGCTAGGTACCTACTGTCGTCTTTGTCAGTGTAATTATTAATTGAGAGTGTAATTGGTGTACTGATTGCAGGGGTTGACACGGTTAGTTTCTCTGACTGGGAGAATATTGACAGACACGAGGTGCGAGAGGGAGAGAAGAAAGGAAAACCACGAGAAAAGATTGTGGACTTGACTCAAATGATGGACATTGTTCACAAGAGCAGATGACCAATTTGTGTCATTGGTGGCCTAAACTTTTCGTACTTTTTGCAAAAGAGAGTAAGGGGAAGGAGAGACCAACCAATCACATTGAATACCTTATCTATAGCTGGGGTGTGCAGTGCAAACATTTCTTCAGAGTTACTTGAGCCTAAATCTTTAGCATGCGCACATGGGGGGAAGGACATATCAAGTGCATTTCTTGTGTAATGGGTGGCTTAAACCTTTCGTATTTTTAGCAAGTAAGTGGGTGGAAGGAAAAGATCAAAAATGTACTAAATGCTTTAACTATAGCTACAAGTGTGCAGTGCAAAAGTTTCTTGTGAGCTAATGGGTGGCTTTAATATTCATAGTTTTAGCAAGAGAGTAGAGGGAAGACTGACTGACCAGTGGCAGTGTTTATTGCTCAATACTTTCAAGAGTATAGCTAATGCCACACACACCAGTAATGCACTAGTCAATAAAACATTTTGGTGAACGTTAATCGGGAATACTAGCTTGATTGCCACTTTCAGCGTTTCCCAATCTTCAACCTTCAAAGCCGGCTATCTAGGCCATGTCTTAAACTCATTCCAAGGGAGGTCGTTCTGCCCATAGTCCATTTCCCTACGGAACTCTGGGTCCTCTATTGCCTCCAGTAGTGCCTGTGCTCGTGGATCTCTCAGCCCATTCACTCTCAGTTCTCTAACAACTTCATCGAGGTTCGAAGAGTCTACGAAATTGGCAGATATGGCGAGGGATGGTTCTAGGTTTTCGACTCTGTGTGGGGAGCCGGCCGGAACGAACAGGAGCTCCCCGGGAGATAGGGTGACCTGGGTGGGGTGGGAGAGGGAGAGGAGAGGGTGGAGGGAGAGGTCTGGTTGCGAGAGATCCACTTGGAACACAGCGTCAGTCGAGTCCGGGAAGAGGGGGTAGAGAAGTGGGAGGTCTTCTGGTGGGAAGAATGTCCACCTACCAAATCAAATTGGATAGGTTAACTTCTCTGTGTGACGAAATGTGTGTGCAGCTATTATAAGGCACACTGTCTTCTGTTTCAGCAGAATTATGTTTGAAAATGGGTTCAACTTAAAGGTTACACAGAAACTCAGTTACATATAATACCATTCACTGGGTCTATTGTTAGTTCTATAAGGTGAGTCCAAGGAGCATTCCCCATTTGTTTCCCTAGCTACGGTGCTGACCTTTTCCTGCCTTGAAAGAGGGCCATCCAGAAGTTGGATCCGAAGGCGTCCACGTGGAGTTCGCTGGTGACACCAGCCGGAGAGAGGAAGAGACTGGGCCAGCTGTCTCGGTACAGAGACCCCGGTGGGGTCCTCTGGAGATAGTCTCCGGCATAGTAGCGCGGGATTGTGAGCTGCTTGGCCAGCTCAGGACAGTGTAGGGGGAGGCTCCAGTCAAACAGATACCTCAACTCTGCAAAACCCATGAAAAATTCTTACAGTCCAAGCAAAACACTAAGAAATGGCAATAGTTGGAGGAACTGTGTGCATTAGCAATGAAAAAAGGAGAAGGCTTAGTGAATTGAAACACATTGTTAAGAAAAAAACGTGCAACAGCAATGAACAAAGAGGGACGGCTATGCCTGCCAGAATAATAGAACTCTTAAGTAATGTGGCTCTACCGGTGGAGCTAGTGTCTTGACAGATGGAGTCGACAAACTGAGAGACTGAGGTCTCGCCGGCTGGTTCCAGTCTGGCCCACTCCACACTCCCATGAACCACTCTCTTCAATGGAGCCACCTTACTACCCATCACCTTGGGAGGGAGTGGGAGAGAAAAGATGTAAGAGCTGAGTCATGCACACCAGATGCTCCATGGTGGAAAGAATATAGAAAGAGAGAGCATCCACTCACGTTACATCGCTCCCCCACATATTTCATTTGCAGGGCTCACTTAAAATAGGCAGTAAACATCACACACCTTCCTATAGGTTCTATATATAGAGAAGATACCTACATAGTTACCTCTTTGATGAGGTCAAATGTCCACGGTTGTGTGACCATCTTATCGACTGCATCAGTGATCACAACAGGAGTATGTGTGAGAGCATACTCTGTGAAGAACTCTTCGTAACTCAGATCAACTGCACTCCTTCTCTCCACCTGTACAAAGCACACATTAGCTAAGCAGTACAGGTGTATGAGGCGTAATGTGCAGGTTTTTTAGCATACATACTTGGGCTGCTTTTGGCATCTTGAGGTGTTCTGATAAAGCAAGCCCAGCTAGTTTGTCTGCTCCCTCCTGGAGAACTTTGTTCTGTCGCACAACGAGCTCATGATGCCAGAGTAGCTCCTTATTGTCAGGGTCTCCCCCTAATGCCTTCCTGGCATATTCGAGAGCCTTGCTGTAGTGCTGCAGGAGATAGTGTGTGGCAGCCAGAGCGTGGTGAGTTGCCGCGTCTTCGTCCAGCGTCTCAAGGTACTTGACTCTAGCTGTTAGGAAACCCCTCGCCTCAGGGAGCCTGGCAAATGAGTTAACCCTTTTTCCAGACCTTCCAAGCTTACTTGTACAACTGTACATATGACCATAGGCATGGAAAGCAGCAAAAATTATAGTGTATGTAGTAGTTTTACTTGTCAAACCCTTCTTCGTGCATAACTTGCACACATATTACGTCATTATCTCTAATACCCTATCCTGGGATCGAGGCCAAAGAGTGTCCAGTGAGACTTAGTTTTTTGCCATATGGTGTGTGCATACTTGCTGATGTGATGAAGAAGAGTGCGAGGATTGTGGGATGAGGAGATGACAGTCTCTGGTGTGCCGGGCCCAGCGCGAGACCTGACGAAGGACTTCCACCATTGAGCCAGGAGAGTAGATATGGGGACAGTGGGTGCTCGCACAACCAACCCCTCCCCAACGGAAGGCCGACAAAGTCCTTCATGCCGTGAGTCAAAGGTGGAATGAGGTACGGTTTTCGTTCGTTTAGGTGGGACTGTTTGAAGCTCTTCGTTTCCTCTTTTAGTTGCTGTCGGTTGATGCTTCGTGGAAGGTGGCCATTCGCTTAGATATTCAACGGGTCCTTCCATCGGCGCGCGTATGCATAAAAAAAGGCGTGGTGCCGTTTCGGACCGATCAAAATTATGCCCAAACAGCGGAGAAGAGGGCGTGGCGGCGGAGGGAAGCGGCGAGAGATTGTCGTTCCCTACGCGAAGGGATATCGCCCACCGACGGAGAAGCAACGTGTCGCAGCTCTCGGGAAGATATCTGGAGGCGCGAAAGAGTTTCAGACTGGAGACGGGTTCTTTTCGCCTGTTCCAGCACCCACCTCGATCGACGACTGGCTGGCCCAGTACAACGAGGAAGGTCAGACATACGGCCAGTTCATCTCGGAATGTCCTTGGCTCTCCAAGAGAAAGTGGAAGTACCACAAGGGCGCATTTGTAACAAGTGGCCGAAACATCCTCGAGAAATACCCGGGCACAAAAATATATTTACAGCCTCTGGGAAATTTTGACGCGGGCGACGCGCCGAATTTTTACGACCTGGCCGAGTATGCGCGCCTATTTTTCTGCTTGCCGGTGGAAGTGTTGCCTGTGGTGACCCTGGAAGAAGAAGACTCTTCCATCTACTGGATAGAATCGGCAGCAATGAAGGGTCGAATGGATAAGAGAGCCGAGAGAAAATCTCCGCGTTTGACGAAATGCCGCCTGGATTTCCGGCAGAAAGACGGACACTTGCAACTGCATTGCCCATCAGTTTTGGCGCGGCTCCGTCGCACGCTACCTGACGACGCACTCTGTCTAGTCGGTCTCACCATGCTAGACCTGTACTCCGATGATCCCGATCTCTTTGTTGCCGGCCTGGCCGCCGGCAGCCACAGAGTCGCAGTCTTTAGCTTCTTTCGCTACGACCCCGGCCTCTCGTTCTCGTCCGAGTTCTGGCACGAAGTGAAAACCTCGCAGGCGATGTTACGCGCCGATCGCCGGAAGACCGTGCTACAGCGCGGCTGTAAGTTGTTGGTTCACGAGTTGGGGCATCTCCTCGGGTTGGACCACTGCGTCTGGTTCTCTTGTCTCATGAACGGATCGGGTCACCTGCGGGAGGACTTCCGCCAGTCCATGACGCTGTGTCCCGTGGATCTCCGCAAGTTGCAAACTCTGACGGGCTGCGACGTCGTCAGTAGGTACGCAGGACTGCTGGCCTTCTTTCGTCGGTGCGGACTGGACGAAGAAGCGGAGTGGATAGACAGAAGACTGGCTTTTCTAAAATAATGTGTTCCCTGCCACTGGCTGGCTGTCAGCGATTTTCCGCGAGCTCGATTGCGGGCGCATGCGCAATTAAGAGTCGCCTTTTCGCGCGCGCTTCGCTTCGCGCGCGACGCCCCCGCGCGCTCTCTTCTAGGCGGCCTAGCCTGGCGCGGGACCGCAAACGCGCGCAGGCTTGAGCAGAAGTATATAGCTGCAGGGATTCACAATCGTGATCGATCCAGAGCGAGATCTAGAGCTAAAGGAAGAATACCATCAAGGATGGCAACACAATATGGTGCGCGCCAGATATTATTAGCACGAGTATAATAGATATAATTATGCTAAAAATCCAGAAGGAAGACGCCTCTCTACGGAGGAGGTATGCCGAGAGGCCGCCGAGAAACTCGGCCAAATGCACATCAGGAGTTTCAGGGACGACTCGGACCTTTGCGGTGCGGTTCCTTTGCACAACCAAGAGCAACCTCCGCCCTACTACGGCCCTCTCGGTGGCGGGAGCGCCGTGCCTGGAGGAAACGGAGTCAACTCACCAGCTTTGTTTCTCGTGCCTCCCCCTCCGCCGCCGTCCCCAGGGAGCGCTCTCAAGACCGGCAAAGGGCAGGACGGCCCGGTCCCCTCTGCTCCCCCTCCTCCTCCTCTCCCGCCCTGTTGTTATCAGCCTCCACTGCAAATGCCGTCTACCACTGCCTCACCTGCAGGGTACCTACAGGTTCCAGTCGATCCTGCTCTATCCCAGTGTAGCTCTGTGGGGCCGAGCCCCGTACACATCCCTCCCTTTCCTTGCCCAGCTCCTTACAACACGGCAGAGATGCCGTTGATGATGGCTCCCGTGTCTCACTATCCACCACCCACTCAGATCCCGGCCAACACAACTCCAGTCATGATCCAACCTCCTCCCCCTCCCCCTCCCCCTCCTCTACCTCCATCGGTTGCAGAGAACAACATCAACAACCAATGCACCAATGCTGTAAGGGATTACACTGTTAATTCAATTTCGAGCTTTGTATTGTGTACTGTGTGTGGGACAAATATCTTGCTTGTGATTATGTTTGCTAGGTTTCACTGTAATTTTCCTGTGGAGCACACTCTCTAATTACAGTATACGTAAGGATTCACATAATATGATTTGAAACACAATGTCGTTGATATCTCAGGACAATGTTGGTGTGAACATTGACGGTGCAGCAGTTGTAGCTGACATGAAAGAGCGTCTCTACCCTAACTACCTCTCATTCAGCCTCGTCATGGCCTCACTCTGCTGGCTCTGCAACATCACTGCATACATATGCATCATCCCAGCCATCATCTGCTCTTCTGTTGTACGTCACCTCGGGTTTAACTACCTATATATATACGCAGGATCTTTCCTGCCAATAATCGGCCAGCCAAATTATATCCTTAGGGGGTGTTTCATTGTACAGGTCTTTTCATAATAGTCCCATTTCCTCTAGGTGCTTGCATGAACATGAAAGTTAATGCATGTCTCTGGTCTTGTAATATATCCTGCAGTGCTCTTTTAAATGTAATACCATCATGGAGCAGAATGTGTTCTGTCTTCCCAGCCCAACAATTCTCTGTCTCTCTCCTCTCTCCCTGCTCTTACTTTCAGTCATGTTCTGCTACCACGTACGGAACGTCAAAGTTTGCAGGGAAGTGGGCTTTGTGTTGCAATCTGACTGCACTCATCTACGGCCATGGTGTCATCTGGTGGCCATTCTGCCACTTGTCTTCTGTTATCACTAGCTGCTGCAGGCATCGCTGTCTACAGGCACTGGGGATTGGGCTGGAGGGTTAGCGTCATCGATTATGACAACGAGATATTACAATGACAACTCCAATACTGCAACTGATTATGGATTACTTGGGATGATAAATAGCACCATCTGTCATACTCATATCATCATTATTGAGTAATATTATTATAACACACTATGCACAAGGAAATAAGTTTGTCATGCAAAATAATGCAACTATGCTAAGACGTAACATTCTCAACAGTATTTTGCAGTTCAAGTTCGTGCCATCCACCTATTACTACGAGTGCCTTGTTGGGTGACGTTGGTATGACTGAAAACAGCTCCAATCCCAAGTACTCACTTGTTCAACAGGAGCTGTTAAACTCCGTCGCTGCTCGTCGATGCTATTGTGGTGGTACCAATGAGCTGGCTCCAACTCTGGATGACTTCCAATAAACGCAGCCATGCTTCTCTAGCTCTGCGAGCCCCGCGTAAGCTAAGCGCGGACGTTATTTTTGCGCATGCGCACAGGTACAGGGTGCGGAAGCAGCATGCTATTTTGCAACACCGGCCAAATTATGGTAAAGGAATTTCTCCTATGAATTCCCTATGATTTGGCATGTGGCATGGCTAGTTTGTAGCCACAATTCTCTTATTAGTGCCGCTTTTTGTGCATGCGGCTATACCATGTGCTTACAGTGACAACACCATAAGATGTTACTTCAGTCTACATGACTAGGCTTAGGGAGCAAGGAGAGAGAGCTGATGTCGTTAAGATCACAGAAAAGTAAATTATCGTCAGAACAGAGAAGCGGGTTAAGGCCGCGTGGGATCCAGGATGCGCCCAGGGATAATGTGACAGATTGGGCCGCGCACAACGGAGCAGAAGCTCTGTATCATGATTAAAATAAACACACACACGATACACTATATATGTATAATGAGGTTCACTGTTCAAGTTCTACATACACATTATATGTAATACGTAAGAGTCTTCTGTCAGTCTTTCATGCCACTTCTCCATTTGCGATACCAAGAAACGCGAGCCCCGTGGTGAAGATTAGGATGACAAAGATGATGGCGACCAGTACAGCTATCATGTAGATGGTCATGGAGAACAGCGAACAGCAACAGGAAGCCTTTCCATACGTTGCAGCTGTCTCATAGTCTCCGGAATTACTGGCACAGCCAGACTGTGAAAATAACCGCAAAATTGTTTTATCTTATCAAAAATGATGGTAATCTATGCACTACACTATATGATGTACATACATAGCTAGTGAAACAGATCTTAACAACACAAGAAAATGGTTTTGTGTGTTATTACAGTACACTATACACAGTGTAAATAGGCACATCAGAAGATCAATGACACCTTTATATAAACTCCTATTGGACTGTTATGATCATATTGAAACATGTGAGGGCCAACTCACAGAGAGGGAGAAGATGAGAGCTGGGATGAGGCACACAAAGGCCACCAGGTTCCCTGTGCAGAAGCACACCACCATCAGACACAGGACCCAGATGAGGTTGTCACTGGGCCTCACTCGCTCCACTATCACTGTGCTTGGCTGTGCAGCCGACGGCTGGCTAACTACCACCACATTGTTGGAACTCTGTGTCGCAATATAAAGCTCATGAATAACGGAGTGACTACACCACACTTTTGACTATAAACCCACATAATCATGTAGCAATAATTATACCGCAACACTCTACGTAGGTCCTGTGTCGGACCACGGGATAAACGTAAGGCGTAACACTTTTCCTTGCCGAAACTCCGTACACCCAGCGCTCTCAAATATTCACCCCTACCACCCGCACTGTGATGTAGATAGTAGCCTAGTTATCTGAGGGTCTAGAGGAATCAGCGGTGATCTCACGGTGTTGTTACTGAAGCTGGTGTGCTGGGGAGCCGCCGGCTGGGCGGGAGCGGGAGTCGCCGGAACTGGAGTGTACGTGGACATGGGGTGATCGTTCTGGGGCAGCATTTGGTGGTGGTACGGGGGTGGCTTTTCCCAGCTAACCTCTTGACCGGAGCCTTCCATCTTCTCTCTTCGCAGAGGAGATAATAGGTAGGGGGGCGGGCCTGTATAATAAGACCGCACGTAATATCGCGCATGCGCACTTTACACGATCGCACGCGCACGCAGGAACGCAAAAGCCAAACCTGCACTTTCCCCCCCAGATTCTTCAGCTAGCTCAGAGTGCAGTTTGATAAACTCAGTGGAGCAAATCGAATCAGCACCCAGGTCCCGCTTTTCATACCAGCGTGCAGGAATATGCCGATTGGTCCACATCTGCCGATGGCTCGAAGAGCTGCATACTGAAGCAACGCCACCTCGCGGCGCGGACCTGCACCACCACCTTACACACCATCTACAAAACCTCATCATGGCCTCACTCTGCTGGCTCTGCAACATCACTGCATACATATGCATCATCCCAGCCATCATCTGCACTTCTGTTGTACGTCACCTCGGGTTTAACTACCTATACACGCAGGATCTTTCCTGCCAATAATCGGCCAGCCAAATTATATCCTTAGGGAGTGTTTTATTGTACAGGTCTTTTCATAATAGTCCCATTTCCTCTAGGTGCTTGCATGAACATGAACGTTGCATGTTTCTGGTCTTGTAATATATCCTGCAGTGCTCTTTTAAATGTAATACCCATCATGGAGCAGAATGTGTTCTGTCTTCCCAGCCCAACAATTCTCTGTCTCTCTCTCTCTCTCCCTGCTCTTTACTTTCAGTCATGTTCTGCTACCACGTACGGAACGTCAAAGTTTGCAGGGAAGTGGGCTTTGTGTTGCAATCTGACTGCACTCATCTACGGCCTGGTGTCATTCCTGGTGGCCATTCTGCCACTTGTCCTTCTGTTATCACTAGCTGCTGCAGGCTACGCTGGTCTACAGGCACTTGGGGATTGGCTGGAGGGTAGCGTCATCGATTATGACAACGAAGATTATTACAATGACAACTCCAATACTGCAACTGATTATGGATACTTGGGATGATAAATAGCACCATCTGTCATAACTCATTATCATTCATTATTGAGATAATAATTATTATAACACACATATGCACAAGGAAATAAGTTTGTCATGCAAAATACTGCAACTATGCTAAGACGTAACATTCTTCAACAGTATTTTGCAGTTCAAGTTCGTGCCATCCACCTATTACTACGAGTGCCTTGTTGGGTGACGTTGGTATGACAAAACAGCTTCCAATCCCAAGTACTCACTTGTTCAACAGGAGCTGTTAACTCCGTCGCTGCTCGTCGATGCTATTGTGGGTGGTACCAATGAGCTGGCTCCAACTCTGGATGACTTCCAATAAACGCAGCCATGCTTCTCTAGCTCTGCGAGCCCCGCGTAAGCTAAGCGCGGACGTTTATTTTTGCGCATGCGCACAGGTCCCAGGGTGCGGAAGCAGCATGCTATTTTGCAACACCCGGCCAAATTATGGTAAAGGAATTTCTCCTATGAATTCCCTAATGATTTGGCATGTGGCATGGCTAGTTTGTAGCCACAATTCTCTTATTAGTGCCGCTTTTTGTGCATGCGGTATACCATGTGCTTACAGTGACAACACCATAAGATGTTACTTCAGTCTACATGACTAGGCTTAGGGAGCAAGGAGAGAGAGAGCTGATGTCGTTAAGATCACAGAAAAGTAAATTATCGTCAGAACAGAGAAGCGGGTTAAACCCGTTCTCTCAGATCGGCTAGACAGATACTCGGTCAGCTGCTTGGAGGACAGAATGCTTTGGGAATATATAGGCAGCCTTCACGGGGGCGACCCTGGAGCGGCGGCACCTGAGACTCCGCGTGGGATCCAGGATGCGCCCAGGGATAATGTGACAGATTGGGCCGCGCACAACGGAGTAGAAGCTCTGTATCATGATTAAAATAAACACACACACGATACACTATATATGTATAATGAGGTTCACTGTTCAAGTTCTACACACACATTATAGTCTACGTAATACGTAAGAGTCTTCTGTCAGTCTTTCATGCCACTTCTTCATTTGCGACGAAGAAACACGAGCCCCGTGATGAAGATTAGGATGACAAAGATGATGGCGACCAGTACAGCTATCATGTAGATGGTCACGGAGAACAGCGAACAGCAACATGAAGCCTTTCCATACGTTGCAGCTGTCTCATAGTCTCCGGAATTACTGGCACAGCCAGACTGTGAAAATAACCGCAAAATTGTTTTATCTTATCAAAAATGATGGTAATCTATGCACTACACTATATGATGTACATACATAGCTAGTGAAACAGATCTTAACAACACAAGAAAATGGTTTTGTGTGTTATTACAGTACACTATACACAGTGTAAATAGGCACATCAGAAGATCAATGACACCTTTATATAAACTCCTATTGGACTGTTATGATCATATTGAAACATGTGAGGTGCCAACTCACAGAGAGTGAGAGGATGAGAGCTGGGATGAGGCACACAAAGGCCACCAGGTTCCCTGTGCAGAAGCACACCACCATCAGACACAGGACCCAGATGAGGTTGTCACTGGGCCTCACTCGCTCCACTATCACTGTGCTTGGCTGTGCAGCCGACGGCTGGCTAACTACCACCACATTGTTGGAACTCTGTGTCGCAATATAAAGGTCATGAATAACGGAGTGACTACACCACACTTTTGACTATAAACCCACATAATCATGTATATAGGAATAATTATACCGCAACACTCTACGTAGGTCCTGTCTCGGACCACGGGATAAACACATAAGTCGTAAGGCGTAACACTTTTCCTTGCCGAAACTCGTATATACACCCAGCGCTCTCATATATTCACCCCTACCACCCACACTGTGATGTAGATAGTAGCCTAGTTATCTGAGGGTCTAGAAGAATCAGCGGTGATCTCACGATGTTGTTACTGAAGCTGGTGTGCTGGGGAGCCGCCGGCTGGGCGGGAGCGGGAGTCGCCGGAACTGGAGTGTACGTGGACATGGGGCGATCGTTCTGGGGCAGCCTTTGGTAGTGGTCATGGTACGGGGGTGGCTTGTCCCAGCTAACCTCTTGACCGGAGCCTTCCATCTTCTCTCTTCGCGGAGGAGATAATAGGTAGGGGGGGCCTGTATAAGACCGCACATAATATCGCGCATCGCACGCGCACGCAGGAACGCAAAAGCCAAACCTGCACTTTTTCCCCCAGATTCTTCAGCTAGCTCAGAGTGCAGTTTGATAAACTCAGTGGAGCAAATCGAATCAGCACCCAGGTCCCGCTTTTCATACCAGCGTGCAGGAATATGCCGATTGGTCCACATCTGCCGATGGCTCCAAGAGCTGCATACTGAAGCAACGCCACCTCGCGGCGAGGAACTGCACCACCACCTTACACACCATCTACAAAACCTCATCATGGCCTCACTCTGCTGGCTCTGCAACATCACTGCATACATATGCATCATCCCAGCCATCATCTGCTCTTCTGTTGTACGTCACCTCGGGTTTAACTACCTATATAAATATACGCAGGATCTTTCCTGCCAATAATCGGCCAGCCAAATTATATCCTTAGGGAGTGTTTTATTGTACAGGTCTTTTCATAATAGTCCCATTTCCTCTAGGTGCTTGCATGAACATGAACGTTGCATGTTTCTGGTCTTGTAATATATCCTGCAGTGCTCTTTTAAATGTAATACCCATCATGGAGCAGAATGTGTTCTGTCTTCCCAGCCCAACAATTCTCTGTCTCTCTCTCTCCCTGCTCTTTACTTTCAGTCATGTTCTGCTACCACGTACGGAACGTCAAAGTTTGCAGGGAAGTGGGCTTTGTGTTGCAATCTGACTGCACTCATCTACGGCCTGGTGTCATTCCTGGTGGCCATTCTGCCACTTGTCCTTCTGTTATCACTAGCTGCTGCAGGCTACGCTGGTCTACAGGCACTTGGGGATTGGCTGGAGGGTAGCGTCATCGATTATGACAACGAAGATTATTACAATGACAACTCCAATACTGCAACTGATTATGGATACTGGGGATGATAAATAGCACCATCTGTCATAACTTATTATCATTCAGATATTATAACACACATAATAATTATAATGCACACGGAAATAAGTTTGTCATGCAAAATACTGCAACTATGCTAAGACGTAACATTCTTCAACAGTATTATGCAGTTCAAGTTCGTGCCATCCACCTATTACGAGTGCCTTGTTGGGTGACGTTGGTATGCCAAAACAGCTTCCCTGCTAGTAATATAGAGCCAATCCCAAGTACTCACTTGTTCAACAGGAGCTGTTAAATTGATGCTTGCTCGTCGATGCTATTGTGGGTGGTACCAGTGAGCCGTACGTTGGACAGCATGAATGGCTCCAACTCTGGATGACTTCCAATAAACGCAGCCATGCTTCTCTAGCTCTGCGAGCCCCGCGTAAGCTAAGCGCGGACATTATTTTTGCGCATGCGCACTGGCCCAAGGGTGCAATTTAAAGGCATTTCTCCTATGAATTCCCTAATGATTTGGCATGTGGCATGGCTAGTTTGTAGCCACAATTCTCTTATTAGTGCCGCTTTTTGTGCATGCGGTATATAGTATATACCACGTGCTTACAATGACAACACATTATGATGTTACTTCAGTCCACATGACTAGGCTTAGGGTCAATGATTAAAATAAACACACACGATACACTATGTATAATGAGGTTCACATACACATTATATGTAATACGTAAGAGTCTTCTGTCAGTCTTTCATGCCAATTCTTCTTTTGCGATACCAAGAAACGCGAGCCCCGTGGTGAAGATTAGGATAACAAAGATGATGGCGACCAGTACGGCTATCATGTAGATGGTCACGGAGAACAGCGAACAGCAACAGGAAGCCTTTCCATACGTTGCAGCTGTCTCATAGTCTCCGGAATTACTGGCACAGCCAGACTGTGAAAATAACCGCAAAATTGTTTTATCTTATCAAAAATGATGGTAATCTATGCACTACACTACATGATGTGCACATAGCTAGTGAAACAGATCTTAACAACACAAGAAACCGGTTTTGAGTGTTTTTACAGTACACTATACACAGTGTAAATAAGCACATCATTCTGCAGAAGATCAATGACACGGCACATTTATACTATTGGATGATCATATTGAAACATGTGAGGGGCCAACTCACAGAGAGGGAGAAGATGAGAGCTGGGATGAGGCACACAAAGGCCACCAGGTTCCCTGTGCAGAAGCACACCACCATCAGACACAGGACCCAGATGAGGTTGTCACTGGGCCTCACTCGCTCCACTATCACTGTGCTTGGCTGTGCAGCCGACGGCTGGCTAACTACCACCACATTGTTGGAACTCTGTGTCGCAATATAAAGGTCATGAATGACGGAGTGACTACACCACACACATGTAGCAATAATTATACCGCAACACTCTACGTAGGTCCTGTGTCGGACCACGGGATAAACGTAAGGCGTAACACTTTTCCTTGCCGAAACTCGTACACCCAGCGCTCTCAAATATTCACCCCTACCACCCGCACTGTGATGTAGATAGTAGCCTAGTTATCTGAGGGTCTAGAGGAATCAGCGGTGATCTCACGGTGTTGTTACTGAAGCTGGTGTGCTGGGGAGCCGCCGGCTGGGCGGGAGCGGGAGTCGCCGGAACTGGAGTGTACGTGGACATGGGGTGATCGTTCTGGGGCAGCCTTTGGTAGTGGTACGGGGGTGGCTTGTCCCAGCTAACCTCTTGACCGGAGCCTTCCATCTTCTCTCTTCGCGGAGGAGATAATAGGTAGGGGGGCCTGTAAGACCGCACATAATATCGCGCATGCGCACTTTACACGATCGCACGCGCACGCAGGAACGCAAAAGCCAAACCTGCACTTTTCCCCCCAGATTCTTCAGCTAGCTCAGAGTGCAGTTTGATAAACTCAGTTGAGAGCAAATCGAATCAGCACCCAGGTCCCGCTTTTCATACCAGCGTGCGGGAATATGCCGATTGGTCCACATCTGCCGATGGCTCGAAGAGCTGCATACTGAAGCAACGCCACCTCGCGGCGCGGACCTGCACCACCACCTTACACACCATCTACAAAACCCTCCCAACCACGAACCAGACAAGACCCAAATTACGGTAAAGATTTGGCCAAAAAACGTACATGGCTAGTTTGTATATAGGCAAAATTTTCTGATTAGTGCCGCTTTGTGCATGCGGTAGTATATACCATGCGCTTACAATGCAGGGGCGGAATTATAGGGGGGGGCAAGGGGGGAAGTGGGGCTTGAGCCCCCCAATATTTTTGACGAGGGGGCTAAGCCCCCTCGCTCAGCGCACGCGCGCGTTAGTGACCTTTGACCGTTTCGAGCTTCGTGCCAATAGCTACCAAATGGCGAAAAACTGCCAACGTCGTGGTCTACTAGTACTAGTCGTACTTCTCCTAAGAAGGCCAGGCTAACAGATGAAGCCAGCAACGCCATGTGTGTTCCCCAGTCTGACGACGACCAGGACAGCGAAGATTCGAGCTCGTACGCCGATTCAAGTACGGTGGACACTACAACTCAGCAGGACGAGACGTCCGTCATTGAGAGCCAAAACGAGAGTTTACCAGGGCCATCCCGCTGTACAGCACTATGCTGCTCTACTGCTGATAACGCCTTTCAGCCCACTGACAAGAAGACGCTAGCAGGTTTGACAAAGAAGCGGAGGAATTTTCAGCCGCACTGGTTCAAGCGGTTTCCGTGGTTGAGCGTCTGTACAACTGACAAGAAGGTATACTGCATCTGTTGCAAATACGCTACAAAGCATAGGCTGATATCATTTAGTAAAATGGGGGGAAAAGCGTTCACTGAAGATGGTTTCCAGAACTGGAAAAAGGCAGTTGAGAAATTTTCAGCTCATAGCAGCTCACAAGTACACTGGGAGGCCAACTTGAAATGGATGGCTAGAGGGAAGCCAACGATTGAGTCCCAGTTAGCGTCACAGTTGGCAAAAGCGCAAATGATCCGAAGGCAAGGCCTTATGCTGCAATTGAGAGCCATTGTTTTCCTCACCCTCCAAGGTATTGCCATCCGTGGGCATACCGAATCGGAGGGAAACCTGCACCAACTAATGCAGGCTTGGGGTCAAGAAAATGATATGCTTAGTACATACCTAAAGGAAAATAGGTACTCCTGCCACCAATTTGTCAATGAGCTTTTAGAAATACTTGGTCTTACTGTACTTCGTAATCTTCTCCAGAAAATGAAGGAAGTCACTGGGCCTGCATGGTTTTCAATCATAGCAGATGAAGCCACTGATGTTTGCAATACTGAGCAACTAAATTTGTCAATTCGTTGGGTTAGTGACAGCTATGAAGTGCATGAAGACCCTATTGGATTATGTAGAGTCCCTGATACCAAGGCTGAGACTCTGTTTAAAGTTTTAAAGGATCTTCTTATTAGATGCAACCTGCCTCTTGCACTCTGCCGTGGGCAAGCATATGATGGAGCAGCAAACATGCAGGGTAGAAAATCTGGAGTAGCTGCTAGGGTTTTAAAAGAAGAGCCTGCAGCTCTACCAGTCCATTGCCTAGCCCATAGCCTCAACTTATGTCTACAGGATGCTGCAAAACAAATTGTTAGTCTAAGAGATGCATTGAATTGTGCAGAGAAATCTACAAACTAATTGAATTGTCTCCAAAGCGCTCTTTCCTTTTTTCATCTAATTTAAGTGCCAAAGGTTGTGGGACTAGTTTGAAGCCCCTCTGTCCCACTAGGTGGACAGTTCGCACTGCTGCAATAGATGCAATTCTTAAAGATTATGTAGTTTTGATGGAAACATTAGAAGATATCCATTCTACCACGCATGATGAGTACGGATTAAAAGCGCATGGATTCCTTCACTCACTCGAGTCTTTCAGTACGCTTTTTGGCCTCAAACTGGCTCATACTCTCTTTAGTGCTGCTGAGCAGGTCTCATTGGCACTTCAGAAAAAGAATATAACGCTGCAAGATGCTCTCTCTGCGGTCGATGCAGCTAGAGCATACTACGGCAGGCTTCGTTCTGACGAAGAGTTTGACCGCTTCTTTAGCACAGCTGTTAGTGTAGCTAATGAGCATAAAATCAGTGGCCCTGAACTCCCAAGGTGTAGACGGCGTCCATCACGGATTGAGGATGGGAGTATGCCACATCAGTATCCGAATCCTAAAGCATTCTATCGTCATATCTACTATGAAGCCTGTGACTTGCTATTGTCTGAGCTGGAACACCGATTTCAAAATCAACATATCCCTTCTGTTCTGGCAATAGAGCAAATGTTGCTCAAAGCTGCAAATGGCAGCAGCTATCAAAACGAATTATCTGCAGTAGAAGTTTCCTGCTATAAAAATGACATTGATTGGGCTGATTTAAGCAGGCACTTACCTCTCTTACAAGATGTAGTAAAGAAGTCTAACCCCATTCTACAAAACATGACATCTATCCACAGCATAATATGTGAGGCCCTTAATAGCAACAATGTCTACAAGGATATGTTACCTTCAGTTGCACAGCTTACTTCGCCTATACATGACAATTCCAATTACATCTGCCACATCTGAGCGAACGTTCTCTGCATTACGACGCCTTTTAACTTATTTACGTTCAACAATGACTGAGAAAAGGCTGAACAACTGCCTCCTACTCCATGTCCACAAGTCGTATACAGATGCTCTTGATCTCACTTTAATTGCCAAGGAGTTTATTCATAGGCAGGATGAGCGCGTGAAATATTTTGGAAATTTTGTAACTAACTAATGGTTTCCTTTTTGTACTTTTAAAACACATTTTCAACTTTACGTACAGGTTATGCAGCGGTAGCAAAACTCTTAGTGAAAAGCGAGCCCCCCCCCACTTTTAGACATCCGTTTCCGCCTCTGCAATGACAACACCATATGTTGTCCACATGACTAGGCTTAGGGTCAATGATTAAAATACACACACCGACACACAATGTATAATGAGGTTCAAGTTCTACACACACATTATATGTAATACGTAAGAGTCTTCTGTCAGTCTTTCATGCCACTTCTTCTTTTGCGATACCAAGAAACGCGAGCCCCGTGGTGAAGATTAGGATGACAAAGATGATGGCGACCAGTACAGCTATCATGTAGATGGTCACGGAGAACAGCAAACAGCAACAGGAAGCCTTTCCATACGTTGCAGCTGTCTCATAGTCTCCGGAATTACTGGCACAGCCAGACTGTGAAAATAACCGCAAAATTGTTTTATCTTATCAAAAATGATGGTAAACTATGCACTACACTATATGATGTACATACATAGCTAGTGAAACAGATCTTAACAACACAAGAAAATGGTTTTGTGTGTTATTACAGTACACTATACACAGTGTAAATAGGCACATCAGAAGATCAATGACACCTTTATATAAACTCCTATTGGACTGTTATGATCATATCGAAACATGTGAGGTGCCAACTCACAGAGAGGGAGAAGATGAGAGCTGGGATGAGGCACACAAAGGCCACCAGGTTCCCTGTGCAGAAGCACACCACCATCAGACACAGGACCCAGATGAGGTTGTCACTGGGCCTCACTCACTCCACTATCACTGTGCTTGGCTGTGCAGCCGACGGCTGGCTAACTACCACCACATTGTTGGAACTCTGTGTCGCAATAAACACGTCATGAACAACGGAGTGACTACACCACACACATGTAGCAATAATTATACCGCAACACTCTACGTAGGTCCTGTGTCGGACCACGGGATAAACGTAAGGCGTAACACTTTTCCTTGCCGAAACTCTTACACCCAGCGCTCTCAAATATTCACCCCTACAACCCGCACTGTGATGTAGATAGTAGCCTAGTTATCTGAGGGTCTAGAGGAATCAGCGGTGATCTCACGGTGTTGTTACTGAAGCTGGTGTGCTGGGGAGCCGCCGGCTGGGCGGGGAGCGGGGAGTCGCCGGAACTGGAGTGTACGTGGACATGGGGTGATCGTTCTGGGGCAGCCTTTGGTAGTGGTACGGGGGTGGCTTTTCCCAGCTAACCTCTTGACCGGAGCCTTCCATCTTCTCTCTTCGCGGAGGAGATAATAGGTAGGGGGGCCTGTAAGACCGCACATAATATCGCGCATGCGCACTTTACACGATCGCACGCGCACGCAGGAACGCAAAAGCCAAACCTGCACTTTCCCCCCCAGATTCTTCAGCTAGCTCAGAGTGCAGTTTGATAAACTCAGTGGAGCAAATCGAATCAGCACCCAGGTCCCGCTTTTCATACCAGCGTGCGGGAATATGCCGATTGGTCCACATCTGCCGATGGCTCCATACTGAAGCAACGCCACCTCGCGGTGCGGACCTGCACCACCACCTTACACACCATCTACAAAACCCTCCCAACCACGAACCAGACAAGACCCAAATTACGGTAAAGATTTGGCCAAAAAATGTACATGGCTAGTTTGTAGCCAAAATTCTCTGATTAGTGCCGATTTTTGTGCATGCGGTAGTATATACCATGCGCTTACAATGACAACACCATATGATGTTACTTCAGTCCACATCACTAGGCTTAGGGTCAATACACACACCGACACACAATGTATAATGAGGTTCACTGTTCAAGTTCTACACACACATTATATGTAATACGTAAGAGTCTTCTGTCAGTCTTTCATGCCACTTCTTCTTTTGCGATACCAAGAAACGCGAGCCCCGTGGTGAAGATTAGGACAACAAAGATGATGGTGACCAGTATGGCTATCATGTAGATGGTCAAGGAGAACAGTGAGCAGCAACAGGAAGCCTTTCCATACATTGCGGCTGTGTCATAATCTCCGGAATTACTGGCACAGCCAGACTGTGAAAATAACCGCAAAATTGTTTTTAGCTTATCCAAAATGATGGTAAACTATGCACTACACTATATGATGTATATACATAGCTAGTGAAACAGATCTTATATAACACACAGAAAATGGTTTTGTGTGTTTTTACAATACACTACACACAGTGTAAATAGCACATGCAGAAGATCAATGACACCTTTATATAAACTCCTATTGGACTGTTATGATCATATCGAAACATGTGAGGGGCCAACTCACAGAGAGGGAGAAGATGAGAGCTGGGATGAGGCACACAAAGGCCACCAGGTTCCCTGTGCAGAAGCACACCACCATCAGACACAGGACCCAGATGAGGTTGTCCCTGGGCCTCACTCGCTCCACTATCACTGTGCTTGGCTGTGCAGCCGACTGGCTGGCTAACTACCACCACATTGTTGGAACTCTGTGTCGCAATATAAAGGTTCATGAATGACGGAGTGACTACACCACTATTTTCAGTATAAACATGCAGCAATATACCATAACACTCAGGTCCCCGTGTCGGACCACGGGATAAACACACAACTCGTAAGGCATAACATTTTTCCTTGCCAAAAACTCGTATATACACCCAGCGCTCTCAAATATTCACCCCTTCCACCCGCACTGTGATGTAAATAGTAGCCTAGTTATCTGAGGATCTAGAGGAATCAGCGGTGATCTCACGGTGTTGTTACTGAAGCTGGTGTGCTGGGGAGCCGCCGGCTGGGCGGGAGCGGGAGTCGCCGGAACTGGAGTGTACGTGGAAATGGGGTGATCGTTCTGGGGCAGCCTTTGGTAGTGGTACGGGGGTGGCTTTTCCCAGCTAACCTCTTGACCGGAGCTCTCCATCTTCTCTCTTCGCGGAGGAGATAATAGGTAGGGGGGCCTGTAATAATATCGCGCACGCGCACTTTACACGATCGCACGCACGCACGCAGAACGCATGCATAATAAAAGCCAAACCTACACTTTTTCGCCCAGATTCTCAGAGTGCAGTTTGATACTCAATGGAGCAAATCGAATCAGCACCGCCGGTACCAGGTCCCGCTTTTCACACCAGCGGGCGGAATATGCCGATTGGTCCACATCTGCCGATGGCTGTAGCTACTCTCCACCACCAACAAGAGCTGCATACTGAAGCAACGCCACCTCGCGGGCCTGCACCACCACCTTACACACCATCTACAAAACCCTCCCACCCCAACACTGCAGGGATTATTCCAGTACGAACCAGACAAGACCCGAATTATGGTAAAGGAATTTCTCCTATGAATTCCCTATAATTATAATGATTTGGCATGTGTGGTCAAAAAACGTACATGGCTAGTTTGTATATAGCCAAAATTCTCTGATTAGTGCCGCTTTTTGTGCATGCGGTAGTATATACCATGTGCTTACAATGACAACACCATAATTATGATGTTACTTCAGTCCACATGACTAGGCTTAGGGTCAACGATTAAAATAAACACACACACGATACACTATGTATAATGAGGTTCACTGTTCAAGTTCTACACACACATTATATGTAATACGTAAGAGTCTTCTGTCAGTCTTTCATGCCAATTCTTCTTTTGCGATACCAAGAAACGCGAGCCCCGTGGTGAAGATTAGGATGACAAAGATGATTGCGACCAGTACGGCTATCAGGGTGATGGCCACGGAGAATAGCGAGCAGCAACAGGCAGCCTTTCCATACGTTGCAGCTGTCTCATAGTCTCCGGAATTACTGGCACAGCCAGACTGTGAAAATAACCGAAAAAATGATGGTAAACTATGCACTACACTATATGATGCACATAGCTAGTGAAACAGATCTTAACAACACAAGAAAACGGTTTTGTGTTTTTTTACAGTATATATTTACACAGTGTAAATAAGCACATCTGCAAAAGTTCAATGACACCTTTATATGAACTCATATTGGACTGTTATGTTCAAACATGTGAGGGGCCAACTCACAGCGAGGGAGAGGATGAGAGCTGGCACATCTGCCGATGGCTATAGAACTCTCCACCACCAACAAGAGCTGCATACTGAAGCAACGCCACCTCGCGGGCCTGCACCACCACCTTACACACCATCTACAAACCCTCCCAACCAACACTGCAGGGAGTATTCCAGTACGAACCAGCGCCCTGTACTCCAGGCTTCGCCTACCAGAAGAGTTCAAGTGTAAGTTGACTTTCTGCTATATATAGCTAACAGGAACCTGTCTATTATTCACATAACACTCAGTGCATGATGCACTGACCCTGAATGACATACCAAACAGCCTAATAGTCACCATAGACAGTTTGTCTTTGATTTTCATCACTCTTCAAGTGCACTTTGTATGCCTATAATTTGTGCTCTGTGCTGAAGTTTATTGTGCCCCAGGTTTATACTGTGGTAGTAAAGCAGCAACCAGAACCCTACTGCCAGTTAAACACTCAAGCTCAGGGATTGCCACAAGATCACCTCAACTTTACCATCTGCAACCTCATCCTCTGCTTTCTATTGTGGAACTGGGCGTCACTTGTCTGCCTCACTCCAGCTCTCATTTTCTCTCTAACTGTAAGGCTGATCTGCTCTGTCTGTATAATGATAGGAACCACTTCGTATGTGGTGTGTCCTGCTCAGTCATTCAGGCGCAAAATTGCCAAGCCGTTTATTTACAGGGAGTGTGCTTCGGTAAAACACAACACGTCAAACCTTAATTAATATAGGCACAAACTGCCTAAAATGGCTATACACGCTCCAGTGGTACACATATTTGTGTTGTAACCCAAGCCATCTTGGCAACCGCACTTGCATGGTGTGATGATGCTCAACGGAATGGACTTACACACATTAGCTAGAAACAGCTTCACGTTGCTGGACATGCAAGCCGATAATTATAGCGATCAGTGTAGGAATAATTATGGAAATATGTATGCAAGCCACAATATTATGTGTATAGTTACACCCAACTTATTACTCTTGTACGTACACCAGGCTAGCAACTCCAACAGCCACAGAAACTATGGGCAAGCTAAGAGATTGGCCAACCTCTCTCTCTGCTGCAATCTGTATGTCTACATCCAGTTTCTGACATTTCTAATCATTGGCATAATACTCCTGGCAACTGGCTTTGTATTCAAGATAGGCATTAGATATGCATAGACAGTCCTATATTGTCGTCTCAATAACTGTGTACCCCCCTCTCCCCTATGACACATACTGTAAAACCGGAAATATTGGCGCTCCAATTTAGCGAATTAATGGTCCGCCATATTTTTTAAATATATATTTAAGAGGTCAAAGTTAATCACAACTTACAAAACGCTAATATTAATTGCCGCCAATATGTGGAGTCTGAGTAAAACGCTAAATATAATGGCCTCCAATATTTCAGGCTTTGCAGTAATAATTATAGTGAAACCCCCAAAAAGATTTTTTGTTAATTTACGCTATCACATGGAATTGTCGAAAAATGAAAACCAAAGAAATTTCAAAGATGACCACAAGTATGAATCATGCTCTACACCTCGACTTACACTAGAGCTAGTCTGCTGTGGTGTCCGGAAAGTCTGCGGCGCTGGTGCGTAACCGGGTACGGGAGAATACGGAGGAAGAGGCACTAGCGGAGACTGCTGGTTCTGTGGGGTTGTTTGATCGCCCCAGTTAGAGGTGGAAAGCATGTCAATGTCCTCCTGCGGCAGCCTGTGATAGCCCCGCACATAAGTGGACGGACCTGCTGCGTCACCGTGATCGTCTTCCATTCTCCTCTGCGAATTATACGACATAGCTAAAATTCAGACCCACGGTATTGTATAAGCAGCTGACTTTTATTAAAAAGTGTCTTGCTGGAAACGTGTTGAGGTAAGCTTACACAGTGTGCATCATGCTATAGCTGCTATATACCCTGCACTAAAATTTACAACGCAACAAAAAAACAACAAGGCTTACCAACGTGACGCGAATAACTATAGCTACATACGTACGTGCCGTTCATAACACTAGGATGGACGAGGCAATAGACAGTCTTACCTTTGTAACTTGCAGTCCCAAAACTAGTTACACTTGCCTGCGCAAAAAGGGGGCGCGTCTCACAATCAGGGTCCTGTAAGTGAGATTCATAGTGTAGCTGGGAAGTGGACTGTTTTTAGAATTCCTTCACGTAGTGTTTGCATAAGTTTGTTTCTTAGACTAAGCTCTATAGGTCCATTGGTGCCTATCTTACTTGCCCTACATTGGCCACTCAGCCGCGACATTCCGTTTTACGTAAGTATAATTATAGCTACCACCATCGACATTATCAACATTCAACCATATCGATCATATAGAAGAAAGACAACTATGAATAGAAGATAAGCAAAGAATCCGATGATGCAACACAGCTCCAAGACGCGGGCCAACATGGTGTATATGTTTGTGTTAGAAACTCTGTTTATGGACTGCCGGATTCTGTTCTGCTCCTAACAGCAATAACAAGCCATTTAGAAGAACCATTGGAAAGAGAAAAAATGTTCTGACCTGTTCATTATCGTCTGCACCAGGGGCTCGTGCTACGTATTTTGACAGAGATCGAGAGGGTGGCCGGGCTTGACGGTGGTCACGATCAAACATTTTAGGTCCAAGTAGATAAGTAAGCTTATAGCTTGGTAGTTACTCACCTTCCATTTCTACGGTCCACCTCGGCTCAGCTCTGACTGCTACGAGCTACACGATAGCAGATCCTGACGGCGCAGCGAACCTCGCCCCACAACACGCTAGCGCTAGCTAGCTAGCTTTAGAGCCCCACCCACCCACATTTGCGCATGCTCATTCCCGCGTCAGTGCGTGCGTCCGTATAATATACAGGCGAAATGGTCACGAACTGGGTCTACAGTAAAAAATCAAGCACTGCCTAAGAGATTGCCCGCTTGGTGGCTCTACTACCTGTCTACTGAGAAAGACCCCAGACCGTGTAACTGTATAGTCACGTACGCATGCGCAGTTCAGACGCTAAGCCGAAACGAAGGCAATGGCCGATCAACCGCTTGTGCAGAAGGAAGAAGAGTCCAACTCCTCACCCTATCAAGTAAAAACATAAAGTGTACATAAGTATACGGAAATCACTCTTTTGCACTAGGCTTTGGGTGATACTACAACAGACCAGCCTGGATCTGGACTTGTCCACGACTATCGGACGCCCGAGGTGCCCGCCCATGCCCCAATGATATTCAGCGCCTTGGTCGCCGTTTTCTGTGGGGTGCCTGCGCCGCTATCACTTTTGTGCTCTATCCCGGCAGTCATGTTAGCGTGGAATGTGAGTGGTAACATAAAAATAATCGTATAGCTATACCCTAAGGGCGAAACATTGTGGGCTATTACAATACAGTGCCATAAACAAACCTGCATGCAAAAGTGACTAGCTACGTACGTACCTATACTATGACATGCTATCTTTTTACATGGCAGGCTCTGACAGTACTGGACAACGAGGAAAGAGCTGTAAAAGTCCGCAGCTCTTATGCTTTTACCTTCGCTGCTTTGGTAATGGGAGTTGCGAGTGTTGTTGCAAGCATCTTAGTTATTTCCTTGATTTCCAAACAATGGGTATAGCGTCATTGTCAAGAAGAAAACTGAGAAATACTAAACTTCAGTGCTTAGGAATTTGGAATACAATAGCTGCCGGAATTGACTTTACACAAATGTACAGCATGCTCTGTTTTAACGTGTGTCCGAGATAAAAACAAATATTTGGCTGCATCGAGGCAATAATATTCGTGTGCGAGTCGCTCGCGGGTAACGTGCGCGTCCATGGCCAGCGCGAGCGCGATCGATCAGAAGGCCTATAAGCAAGCCCGCGGAGCCGCTCGAGCGCGCGTGCCTTTGCGCACCTCGCTCTGAAGGGCATGCGCCAAAGTTCAAAAAGCCCCATTTGCGCATGCGCCATGCCATAGCATATCTAGGCAGCAGTTTACAGCGTTTTGTCAAAGCGAAAGCAAGACACTTGGAAACTCATGGCCTACCAACCAGTTATCCAGCAAGAAAAACCACCACAGTATGGTAGCATTGGACATCCGAAGGTAAAATTATTGTTTGTAGTATAATATTTTTGCTATATAGCCAATATTCTTCAATTACCTATACCCAGATCATAGCGGTCCAGCCTACCTATCCTGCCGTGGTCCATGTGTATTCCACTCGGGAGGTGAACGTCCACGGCGTGCTGATATTCAGTATCCTTATCGCCATTATCTGTGGGATAGCGCTGCCAGCATCTCTGTGCTGTTCAATACCGGCCGTCATGATAGCCGTACTGGTGAGTTTGAAAAGCGATATGTACAACTAATGATAATTTTTGTTAACGGCAGGCTCAGAGTGCGCAGAATGGACAAGAACGCGCCCTGCATGTTCGCAACTCTTACGTTTTAACCGGCGTCGCCCTGATCTTCGGACTGTTATGCATTGTTGGAGCAATCATTTATCTAAGCTACACCATCAAGATGGAAAACACTGACAACTACGAAGATTGAACTTCAGTAGCACCACGTACAGGAAAAGACAAATATAATACAGAAACAGAACCGTGTTCTTGGGACTTAGCTTGCTAATGTATTATTATGCATAACACTGATAGCTACGTACTTCTGTTCTGATAGAAACTGAAAAACCACAGGCATTGACAGAAACTACTTTTTGAAAGCACAAGTGAAACCATAACATCATCCGTTTTGATCATGGGACCATTGCTATAATCTATATAGCATCATTGAAGTAGGGAAGGTGTAACATGACGGTAAAACATGGGAGGCAAGAGGCATCATAGCACAAAACTATTGCTCATGGTGCACAAAGGAGGATAAAAAATGTAGCTAGCTATATATATTATACTATGGAACAGTCAGTTTACTGTACGTTCTCAACTATGCTATATACAGTGAGTGAGTTTACTAATTCTCCTGGATCCGGCTGCCTTGCATACATGATACTCAATAGGGAAATAATATACACTGAAAAATAAGAAAACCTAAATTGCGTTGGGCATTCTACTGAAGCCTTATAGAGTGTAAGGTTACCCTATAGCTGAGTATAACATATAGCATTCGGTCTCAGAGCCTGGGAATCTTTTACCTAATGCTGTAGCTTCTGTTTTGTGCCCCGCGGTTTGGTGCTATATATCTATCTCCACCTCAAAATCGTTCCGCGGCATAATTGGCGAGCGGGAGCGAGCCAACCTAGTGGTACGAACGGCGCGATTTTTCTATATATATCTACGACCGTCGTCGTACGTCGTGTAAGTGCGCATGCGCGTATTTGTACGCGCTTCTTTTTATCCGAAACTATTTCCAAATTTTTACACATTTTCACACACGGTGCCTGCTGCCTCGCGATATGCGCCGATCGATCTATATAGCCAGCTAGAGAACTCTCCTCCATTCGACGGCATGCGCTGCAACCTTCGGTGACTGACCGAGGCTGTACCTCTTCCCAATCTTCATGGTTCCAAGCTGCAACTTGCAAATACGCTAGGATTGCTCGTGCACGTACTGCTGCATGCCAGCTGCCTGGTGAACCACGACTGACGAGTTGAAAGCGTAAGGTAAGTACCGTTCTGCTCACCTGCTCACCGTTCTGCCAATGTACAATACGTTATGTAACGGCGACAGGTAGCTCTGTCTTGCTTCACGAAAGGAAAGCTGTGCGCTGACGGCACGTTATGCAACCCGAACATCACGGGCAAATCCCAAGTTGGGTCGCTCCCGCTCGCCAACAATGTTCAACATTTGCACTAGTTATTATGCGGGAGCGAGCTAACCGCGGACCGACCGCGTAGATACGTCGTGTAAGTGCGCATGCGCGGCTTCGTTCGCGATTGCGCGCGGTTACGCGCTTCATGTGCATGCTACCTGCTCATGCGTCAGGATAGCGCACTTTTAGGACTGGCTCCTGTAAGGGGTGCGCCTGTGTAAAGGCCGGATGACCCTGCACAAACTGCCTCCCTAGCAAGCTGGGAACCTGTGTGAACAGCTCTTCTAACAGCTCCCGCTCTCAACCGCCGTCAACCGTGTCGACTCCATTTAACGCCCCCCCCAACTACCGACCTGGAAGTAACCGCTGCCTCCAATACTGCCGTCCAACCAACAGATACAGACAACGAATGCAGCACACAACTACCACCACCTGAAACGGTGAGTAGACCAGCGTTCACGTGGGGAAATCATAGTGCTATTGATTTTTCCAACATTTTGGAAGCTACCTACTCCGAAGTAGTTCACTGGAAACGTAACTCCTTCACAGTGCCATTTGGCAAAGCGGGGAGAGAATTTGTCAGCGAACTATCAAGGCTTTTTCAAGCCTTCGCCTCTGCCACGGCTCTTGAGTCAATAGCACTTAAGGCTGCCACTGTCCTCCCAATCCTGCTCTTGCAAAAACCACAAAAAGCCTCCAAAGCTAAGGACCACGCCAGCTCTCTTGAGAGGAGACTTAGATCCTGGAGAGAAGGCAATCTGAATGACCTACTACTAGAGGGCAGAGCAATTCAAGGCAGGCTGCCGAAAACTTTCACACCAAAATCTAAAGAGAAAATCGCCCGGTCTTTCGCCGACTTGATGTTTGCAGGGAAATGCAAGGCTGCCCTGGATCTCCTCTCCAACACTGGCGAAGGTGGCATTTTACACCTAGACGACCACATAGATCCAACTACCGACTCTCCTAATGTCCGGGAGGTGCTGCTCAGTAAGCATCCAACAGGCCAGACTGCCAATTCCAACTGCATCCTTCAATCTCCCCCTCAGGAGGCACATCCTGTGATCTTCGAGTCGATCGATGCCAGTGTCATTCGCTCAGCTGCGATGAACATCACTGGGTCTGCCGGACCATCTGGTATAGATGCACATGGGTGGAGGAGACTATGTACATCTTTCAAAGGGGCTTCAAGTGAACTATGCCACTCATTAGCCCTAGTCGCAAGAAGAATATGCACCTCATATGTCGACCCAAAATCGATATCACCTCTTCTGGCCTGCCGGCTCATTGCCCTAAACAAGAACCCTGGTGTCCGACCAATAGGCATTGGGGATACTGTGCGGCGGATCTTAGCCAAAGCAGTGCTGTCAGTAATGAAACCTGACATCCAGGAAGCCTCGGGCTGTCTCCAGATGTGTGGAGGACAGATTTCTGGCATCGAAGCAGCAGTGCATGCCGTGAGAACCGCCTTTGACTCCAGTGACACTGAAGCAGTCCTCCTGGTTGACGCCACCAACGCATTCAATTCCTTGAACCGTCAGGTTGCTCTTCATAACATCAGAAGGCTCTGTCCACCACTCGCACCCATACTCATCAACACATACAGAGCATCAACAGAACTGTTCGTGGATGGCGACACTCTACTTTCCCAAGAAGGTACGACACAAGGGGACCCACTAGCCATGCCCATGTATGCCCTCGCCACCATCCCTCTTATCAAAAAACTGAAGGGCAACTGCAAGCAGATCTGGTATGCAGACGATGTAGCCGCCGTAGGAAAGCTAGCAGACCTGCGTGTGTGGTGGGACCTTTTGACCAGAGAAGGACCTGACTTCGGCTACTTTCCCAATCCATCCAAGACGTGGGTAGTAACAAAGGAAGGCTGTCACACTACTGGGCTCTCTACCTTTGCTGGCACAGGGGTGAATGTTACATCCGATGGCAGACCATATCTAGGTGCAGCAGTTGGCTCAGCCGAGTACGTGGAGAGTTATGTGAAGTCGAGGGTTGACTCCTGGCTATCCATGGTGCGCAACCTAACAACAATAGCAAAGACTCAACCACATGCAGCCTACTCGGCTCTCACACATGGTCTCTCAAGCAAGTGGACCTACCTATGTCGCACAGTTCCCAATATCAGCAACCTACTAAAGCCGCTCGATGACATCTTGCGTACCGAACTCATCCCAACACTTACAGGAAGGCCCCCACCTAGTGACCTGGAGTGTGCCATGTTTGCCCTGCCAGCAAGAATGGGTGGACTGGGAATAACAATCCCTTCCACTCAAGCCGACCAGGAACATCAGTCATCCTTACTGGTTACCTCTGCCCTCCAAGACCACATCACACTACAAGATGAGGCCTACGGGTATGAAGTCATTGCCCAGCAATTGGAATCCAAGGCCATTGTTAGAAATAGAAACAAGGAAAATCGTTCAAAAGCCGCCGGCGATGTGCTAGAACTTTTACCAGACAACCTGCAGAGGTCGGTGAAACTAGCAAGCGAGAAAGGATCCTCCACTTGGCTCACTGTCCTGCCACTTTCAGAGCATGGCTTTGCCTGCACAAAGGAGCTTTCCACGATGCCCTGGCATTACGGTACGGCTGGACACCAGAGAGACTTCCTTCGAAATGTATCTGTGGTGCCTCTTTTTTCAGTTGAGCATGCTCTGTCCTGTGCCCAAGGCGGCTTTCCATCGATCAGGCACAATGAGATACGGGACCTGACAGCTACCCTCCTCACAGAGTGTGCAAGGACGTGTGCATTGAGCCAGAGCTTCAGCCTGTGAACGGTGAAGAATTGACGGGGTCAACTGCCAACTCCCAGGAAGTGCCCGCCTTGATATCGCTGCAAATGGTGTCCTGGGGTGGTACCTTCGAGAGAACCTACTTCGACGTTAGGGTATTTAATCCCCATGCCCCGTCAACAGACACACCAACCTGCAGTCAGTCTACAGAAAGCACGAACAATCAAGAAGCGTGCATATGAACAGCGGATAAGAGAAGTTGAACACGCTACCTTCACGCCTCTGGTGCTCTCTGCTACCGGTGGCTTGGCCAGGGAGGCCAACACTTTCTACAAAAGACTCGCCTCCATGCTCGCCTCCAAGTGGGACCACACCTACAGCCACACTCTCCGCTGGCTACGTTGTCGTCTAGCCTTCTCCCTTTTACGCTCCTCCATCCAGGCCATCAGGGGTGCAAGATCATCATGCGGACATGCCATCAGAATGCCCATGGCGGTCGATTTGATCATCTCGGAAACACACCTTGTATCACTCTAAATTGCTCTCTATCTTCTTATTTATACCTGCATTCATACTGT